CTTTTCACTCCCAGTCGAACTGCATGCAACAATTGTGATGCACACTCACAAATTCCCTAACACATTCACTCACACGTCGCAGTCCTCTCACTTGCAACCAGTTTGCTTAGGTACAGTGGTAATTCCCTAGCACAAACTGCCCTTGATAGAATATTAAGTGTTGTTAAATGACAGGCAAATTCTTAGTATGCTCAAAATTGAACTGTCTTATAAATTAAAAAAATTAAAATAATATAAGGTAATATATTACGAAAATATCTTTAAATACGTTAAATAATAAGAGCACGTTTTCATTTTTTTTTGTTTGCCTTTGAAGTGGGGAAAATAATTTCCTTCGTCAATTCTTACAGTATATTTCCCTATTAGCCTTATCAGTGCGAAGAAGTCAAGATAGAGGAAATGCATTTGCTCTTGCCAATCTTTGCATAATCAAAGTCTGGTAACTGTAAGAGCCTGTTGCTGATGTTGCGTGATTTGCTGTTGTTTTAGTCAATGGCAATTACAAAATTTGTTGTTGTTCCTGCTGCTTGTTGTTTTTGCAAACAGGTTGCAAGAGTTGAATGTGCTCACAGATCAAGTTCAAGGTATGAAAAAAAAATAAATAAACTCCACTGCTAAAAAAACTAAAATGCAACATGAAAATATTCTGCTAAATAAATTAGGAAACGGCTGCCAAGTGAAATGCGTAATAGCGGCATGAATCACATTCGTGGAAAGAAGAAAGCTTCTGCGTAGGCGTCAAAGAATTGCTGTGCGTATTTTGGAGCCCCGCTTCTTCTTGTTTGGCTTTGATTTCTTTTTTGAATATGTACGTTTTTCGCGCTTGGCACACTTTTTTCGCTGTCTTCTCTCTCGCCATGCTTTTCGTTTTTGTTTTACTCACTTGAGAAACGAAATAACAATTCTCGACTTCCCTAGCGCGGTTTGTTTGTTTTTATATTTCTGTGCGCACTTTCTTTCTTTTCTTTCGCTTTGCGCATGCGTGCGCACTTCCCCAGAGATCTTCGTCACAATTCCCTCGGCGGCGCTTCGAAACACGACCTCGCGCTTAGAGGTTCGCTTGGTAACTGAAGACAGGTATGCCGAAGACGCCGCTAGTGATGGTGAGTGCTCTCTCCTCTCCTCCGCTCCACTCCGTTCCACTCCGCTCCGCTCCACTCCACTCCGCTCCGCTCTCCATCGAACTCCCATTCTCTTTCCTCAACTCTTTTCTCCGAAGCTCTGAGAGAGTGCAGTGTTGTGCCCTTTTGGACAGCGGGACCGTTACTTTTTTTTCTCCACTCTTTATGGACAATGCAGGTATGAATATTACGCTTCCTGTTCGGCTGGACATGTGCACATAGATATGTATATCGATTGAGTTACGGCCTTTGTGACGTGTTTGCCGGCACGTAGCCAACACACATACCAGCAGAAACACCCGGTTCGGCGAAATGCTTTCACTCTTACTGTTTGGACAACAGACCAACAGACCAACGCCGAAAGCTCCACGATCTTCAAAAGGTGGCGTGCCTGGTGGCAACACCTTTTTGTGGGTCACTGTGCGTGTGACGTCAGCCAAGTGCAAGGGTTGGCAAAGGAAAAGTTGGACCTACAAAAACAAAATGTTAAAAGATGTTAACCAAAGGTTACTTCACTCTTCAAAGTTATTTCAAACTTAATATATTAAAGCAAGGCTTTACTTATAGCAAGTTATTGAATGTCGACCCAACTACGCTTCCAGTAAAGAAGTTTTACATTTGCTAAATCGCTGAAATTGCAGTTAGACTGATTATTATAGTGTGACTTATTATATTGATTAACCCATATCATGTTTTTTCTTACAGGTGGCTGCTGTGGATCGACCAAGAAGCGCACGATTGTGGGCGGCTGGGCGTGGGCGTGGTGGCTGGTGACCGATGTCCAGCGGCTGTCCCTCAACGTGATGACCCTGAATCCGATGTGCGAGAACGTGGAGACGTCGCAGGGTGTTCCGCTGACGGTGACCGGAGTGGCCCAATGCAAGATCATGAAGGTACGATCCCCAGCTTTATAGACATGTACAGCCATATACATATACATAAATGGCTAAGTTCAACCGATCTCCGCTCGTTTGTGGGTATTCTGGCCACCTTTTCTCTTCTGCACCCCCCAAATCTGAGCGAAAGTGATTGAAGTTTGACCGCATTTCAGTTTTTGACTTCAGTATGCAAGATTTGTTGGTTCGTTAATGCCCAAATATTCTTAGCCAATTAGAGTGCCGAAAGTAGCGAGTTGGTATCCTGCATGCACCCGTTTATATCTATATACATATACATGAATGATCGATCCTTTCTGAACCTATTTTAATCAAATGTTTGGCTCTTTGTTTTGTACATTTCCCGCCCAATTCCCAAGTAATTCAATCTCCATTCCCATCGAATGCATATTTAGCCTAGCAAGTGCTCTCAATCTGACCACCGCCAAGTAAGTTGCGATCACCCGTCCCGGTGATCTTCTCACGTAGTCCTAGTTATAGCCATAGAACTCCACGTAGAACTCATTGAACACCCCGCCTGTTTGTTCCCGTTTTCGGCACTCGATACAATCTTATTTCTCTCGGTTTTTATTAGTTCCCTCTTTGATTGCTTGATCAAAATATACAAATTTTGGATTTTTAATCATAATATTATAATTTAATCTGTTAAAGTTGTAAAATAGGTTTATATCTGGATTGCTGTCTGTGTTGGACAGTTCTGTGACTGAGCACCGACTTTTTACTTGACTTTTAGACATGTTCGTGATCCGGACGATATCATGTATTATTTACAATTCGATTTCACTCACATCACTTGATTCTGTTTTGTCTATAAGTTAATCTTTCAACAGGTTTCTTTTACTACAAATGTTTACGTTTTATGTTTTGTGTCAAAATGTTTACTGATTAGATTTATGTGATCACTCGGAGGCTTAGGCATTCGATTATTAAATTATATGGTTACGGGGTTTCGGGATCTTTTGATCTTCAACTCATACATGTGAAATAACGATACTATCTAGTTCTTAAAAGTTTCAACTTTCTATGTAATAATACCAATTGCCTTCAAAACTGTTTTACCATTTATAAATATCATGTAAACACACTTCACTTGTACGAGTATGATCACAAATTTCAGTAAATGCAGCATCTAAAAAGTGCACTTCACTTTCCAAGTAGTCGCAATTCTAATCGTTTTAATGACATAAAGAATTGCCTGTTTCAAAATTTTGTTCCATTACTTAATTATTTTCATTCGATTTTGCAGTCATCTTCGTATAAGCAAAACGATTATCATAACGACGAGGTATGTTTATGATTGCATTTATTTAATTTAACATCCTGGGTTCGATTCATGTTGGTTTTTTGTCCTTCTATTGAACAAAATATGTTTCCATTTCTTATCGAACACCCTAACCACCCACACACACACGCATCCACACACACACCTAGCGCAAAGTGATCATGATCCATTCATTTGTATTAAATGCATGTGCTTTCTTTCGGAATTTATGCCTATACGTGTTTGTTTTCGTTATGCATTTTGCGTTTATCGAAGTCATTCAATCATCATCATCAGAAGCTGAGGAGGAAGAAGAAGGAGAAAGAAAAGTACAGTCTGCAAAATAATAATACAAAGAAATTATCAAAAATTGAAACCCTGTTGATCTCTGTGTTCTACTCTCTTTTTTCTCTACTTTCTTTTCACCACCACCAAAAAAAATCGACTAAAACCCCGCCGACTGATCGTTCAACGTTCAACTCATCAACAAAAAAAACCAAAACTAATCCGCAACTAACTGTATCTGTTAACGAAATCAACAATAATTACCAAAAAAAACAAAACACAATCAATATAAACACACACATGCATTCAACCAACAAATATCATTAAAATCTAAATTGTTCTACTCCAAAAACAAAATACCACAAAAATACTGCTCTACCGTTACTGCTACCGTTACTCTGCTCTGGTTGCTGCTGTTACCGTTATACTCCATGTATCGCTCTATATACCTCTATACGATAAATATATTTGTATATTTATATATCTCTGTTGCTCTGTCCATGTGTGCATGTGCGTGTGTGTGGGTAAAATATAATACAAAATATATATATTTCTATAAAATATAAATTTTAAATAAACCAAACAAATATTTCCGCTCCAAACTGAAAAAAAATATACAAAATCAATCAATCGAACCTATAAAATGTCTTCACACACATGCACACCGACATGGTGACACCCACACAACCAACCCACACACACACACACACACAAACACTCACACGCACACACGTACAGATGATGAATGTTTATTATTTCCACCATCAGGCCGACGAGCTTCTAGGCACTGCCAGTGAGCAATTCCTTGGAAAGAGCGTCAAGGAGATCAAGCAGACGATCCTGCAGACCCTCGAAGGACATCTGAGAGCCATATTGGGTGAGTATGGTGACGAATACATTGCTAGGTTACCCATTAAATGCAGTCGGAACATAAAGTATTCTGACAGCTTTCGGAACACAGTATTATTATAATTCTGGGGGATTGGAAAAATACAGTTTCCCCTTCAGTATAAGTACTTTTTAGGAGGTCACCTTCGTGTGAAGCCCTACAAACCAAAGTGTGGGGTATCCAAACCCGTATCCAATTTTCATTAATTGCATTAATATATTATATTGTGTTCAGAAAGATTAATGCATACTTTCGGGCATCCCCATGGAAGAGCTTTTGTTTAATGGTTTTTAATAAAACACAAATGATTAATTGCTCTGAAACTTATTTTGTATTTGATTTCCATATTCTAACCTTCCATTAACCTTGGCTTTACGTTCTCCTTCAAATATATTAGTCCACTTGAGGGTTCTTCAAACTTGTAATGAGTTATTTCCTTAATTTCGTATCGCAACGCATTTCATTGGTATTTTTCTCTCTTTAGTATTTTTAAGCTAATTATCTTTTGTTTTTTTAATTCTTGCATAAGTTAAAACATGAGCCCTTGGTTTCTGTTGCAATTGACCTCAGTCATTTATAATTTTAATGCTTCATTTGATAGCAACTCAAATCCGCATTTTCCATTTTCTGATCTGAGTTTTGTGGCAAACAATTAAATTTGGAAACGGGCAACAATCTGCGCAACGAATAACACGCATCATTGCGATCATCACTTCTTGTAATACATGTCCATATGGGGCTGATCAAACATATTGATGGCATAGTCCAGTTCGTCCAGCTGCCGCTCGATGGCGATTTTCCGATTGCGCACCCGCAAGGTTGGCTCCGAAACGGGCATATGATTGTATTCCTCGACCAGCTTGCTGTATTTTATGTGGGCATCCTGGAGAGCCGCCTGTCGCTCGCTGGCGGTCAATGGTGTGTAGCCTTCGATGGCGGTTGGCACCTTCTCCTTGTCCTTGTCCTTTTCCTTCTTCTCTCTGGGCCTTTGCTCCTCCAAGTGGGTTGGTGGCGGCATCACCTCCATTAACTGCGACTTGCGACTGGCCTGAGATCTTTTCGAGGCCGTGGTGCTCCTGGAGGCCACAGTAATGTTCGACTTGATGGTGGCACTCGAGCGCACACTCTCCTGGGAAACGGATCGCTTGGACTTGAGCGTCCTTGCGGAGGCACCGCTGCGAGCACTCAATGGTGCCTCGGGATCGGTGTTCCCCTGGCCCTGTGTTGACATAGCCTGGGATCGACGAGACGCCCGGGATACTCGGGACATGCGGGAGCATATCGAAGCGCTATCGGCCTGATCACCTTCGCCCTGTTTGGATGGCATTTGGGCATCCGTTTCCGGTTGCTGTGACACCGCCTCTGCCTGGTGAACCTGATCAGATGGATTTCTGTGCGGACAGCCGTGATGGCAGTTGCAACCGGTGCAGTACTTCCTTGGCTGCTTCGCTTGCTGATCCTCCCAACCGCCCTGCAGACGCTCCTGCTCCTTGCGCTCCTGCGTCTTACGTGTGGCCACATCGCAGCCACAGGGATTTGGTGGCATTCTGCGGCGCATCTCGTTGTGGAATCCATATGGCTGGGCAAGACCGCTCCGCAGGCGGGGAGACTCATGGGCTCCGTGTAACGGGCGTGGACGACGCTGGCTGGGATAGGCATGGGGACGCAACTTCTCCGAGTAGTGGAGAACCACTGGACGCCACAGGGGCACCCGGCGGGCATTGGCCGCCGCTAGACACCTGCCATTGGTCTCCATTCTGGCCACATTTAGCTTGTTCTCTTGCAGGAAATCACGACCACCGCCATGTGATCGTCGCAGCGAGGACATCGTGTCCTTTTGTGTTGTATAGGTATCGTTATTTTAACTTGCAAATCGGTAAAACTGAATTGAAAATATTTGTATGTTTGTATTCACATAAAGAAAACAAAGAATAGTGAAAATTGATCCGGAAGCTAGAGTGAGACAATTTTTTTTTTGGTGTACCTTCTGATCGAAGTGGAAAATGAGACTGAACTAGCCAAACTAAGCACATTGACATGTGTAGCGAATTTAAGGTCAAGGCCTACTTGGCACTGATTTGTGTCTTTCCATTTCTTTATCTCCTTGATATACAAGAGTTTCCGGTAATATCTGGCATTTTAAATACGATTTTATTCACATTTTATAGTGAATATTGATGTCTATTAGTTGTATTAGTGATATGTGGCATACATATGTACATTATTATCAGGATGAACGAGAGTTTTCTGTACAATCGAAATACTCGGTGATTACATATCTCCAAAGACAATTCCCCAACACTATATTTTTAATTATAATTGCCACCAATCGTTCATGTATTAAATGTACTTTTCTTCAATTTGGTAATCGGTAAGGGCAAGTTTTCTACATTACCCTCCAATCGAATAGCTCGCATTCCCAGCTATCCACAGTTCTATTTGCCCAGGTCTGTCCACGACCTTGATGGCCAATCTACAGCTTTTAATTAAGCATAACTCGAGCCGAGGGTTTATGGGCCCATCGAACCCGAGTCGTTATACATGGCTCACTAGTTAGTCTATAGTATGTTCACGAGACGCTCGAGACTTCAAGGCGGTTTCCATTTGGCGGCGCGACTACAATTTCATTTTGCGAGCCGGTACCCGGCCGATTCCAGTACCGATTCCCATACCTATAACCATTCCGAATCCAAGTCCGAGTCTCCGGGCGATTTGAGCTGCCTGTCAGTTAGTTGTAAGCGCATCGCGAAACGCTTTGGTTGTCGGTTTGTTTGTCAATCGCGTGTGAGCAGTCGTAATTGTGGGTGCTATTATTGGGGACCTCCATCTGCGAGGAAAACTGAAAAGCTACGATCTACTTGCTTGTCATTAAGTGACGTCACTGGGGCATAGAGCTCTTATCAACGCCAGCGATAAGAATGCGACAAATGACGTCAAGAACAGCAGAGAACACGGAATGATTTAATTTAAGGCCCGCAAGATAGATGGCTAGATAGTGGTTAGACTGTGGAATCGTTGCGCGAACGGAGATAGCAATCCAATAAGTAGACCCCCGTTTGGTGGCCTTTGGAACAGTTGTTCGACGACATGTCCGCCGTCTGGATGGGCGTCTTTAAGGTGGCCCTGATAGTGGGTGTTACCTCGCTGGTGGTCAGGCGGTAAGGTCATCGATTAAAGGTGGAAAGAGCCACCCCAACGAAAAATCCATTTCCCCTACTCATTTTCCCTATCAAAATGGTTGCTATCTGTGACATGCAAGTGTTTAAATCATGACTATTTGTTTATCAAAACGGCAAAAGCACTGTTGATATATTTCCTATAATTTAATTCGCGAAATGCAGCGTTTTGTCCTTACACCAAAGTACGTGACCCGATATTCGCCATTACAAGGCTTCTACAATTTAATTCCGTTATGAGAACGTGATTGGTGTATTGCTTATCAAGTCGCACGTCTTATTTTTTCATTATATACATGAGACAATCGATTGTAGACTACCTACTTTAAAGATTGGGAATAACACCAGTTTCAAAGCTAAATTAAAATGCCAAATTAAGTGCCCAAGATGCCACTTATTTTCTGTGTGTACACACCACACTTACCTCCCGCCATGACAACACCCACTTAATATTCGATTGCTTTGCTTGTGGCCTTGCAGGAACGCTTACAGTAGAAGAGGTGTACAAGGACCGCGACCAGTTCGCTGCCTTGGTGCGCGAGGTGGCTGCTCCGGACGTGGGTCGCATGGGCATCGAGATCCTTTCGTTCACCATCAAGGACGTGTACGATGATGTGCAGTACCTGGCCTCGTTGGGCAAGGCCCAGACCGCCGTGGTCAAGCGGGATGCCGATGCCGGCGTGGCGGAAGCGAACCGAGATGCCGGAATCCGCGAGGCGGAGTGCGAGAAGAGCGCCATGGATGTGAAGTACTCGACGGACACGAAGATCGAGGACAACACCAGGATGTACAAGCTGCAGAAGGCCAATTTCGACCAGGAGATCAATACGGCCAAGGCCGAATCCCAGCTGGCCTACGAGCTGCAGGCGGCCAAGATCCGCCAGCGCATCCGTAACGAGGAGATCCAGATCGAGGTGGTGGAGCGACGCAAGCAGATCGAGATCGAGTCCCAGGAAGTGCAGCGCAAGGATCGCGAGCTCACTGGCACAGTCAAGCTGCCCGCCGAGGCCGAGGCCTTCCGCCTCCAGACCCTCGCCCAGGCCAAGCAGTAAGTGTGAAGAGTAACGAAAACGCGAATTCTTTAGGACTTAATGGAGAGGTTCCACGGAAAATCACTTCAAGCGTTAACTAGTTACCGTGATAAGCGAGATCAGCTGTAGATATTTCATTAAATAGTTATATTACAATTCTGTTCTGGCATGGTCCATAATTTATTACTCCATATATAGATCTATACTCTATACTCTATATATATATATATACTCTATAATGGAGAGGTTCCACCGAAAAGCACTTCAAGCGACAACTAGTTACCGTGATAAGCGAGTGATCAGCTGTAGATATTTCATTAAATAGTTATATTATAATTCTGTTCTGGCATGGTCCATAATTTATTACTCCATATATAGCCGCCTTATACAGTACACAAAAAATACAATCGTTATGGTAACTTCAGATATAATATAATATATTATTACCATGTATGTATCTACCTGTAGATAAACGCAGTTTCAGCGCGAATGATTGCAGTCAACACGTAACTAATAATAATATATCAATTGGGAATTTTTATTATATAAGGGCTCTGTGGCTTTGTGTAATATGTGGATACCAGCTCTTGTAGGCTAATTGCATTCCAATTAGATGCTAAAACCGCGTTTAACCTCTGCAGGTGCCAGACCATCGAGGGTGCCCGTGCCGAGGCGGAGCGCATCCGCAAGATCGGATCGGCGGAGGCCCATGCCATCGAGTTGGTGGGCAAGGCGGAGGCGGAACGCATGCGGATGAAGGCCCATGTGTACAAGCAGTACGGCGATGCTGCCATCATGAACATTGTGCTCGAGTCGCTGCCCAAGGTTAGTGCTCCATATGCATTTAATTTGGAATTGCAAATATATTCCTTTGAAATCCGTTGCAGATTGCCGCTGAGGTGGCTGCACCACTGGCCAAGACCGATGAGATTGTCCTGATTGGCGGCAATGATAATATAACCAACGACGTGACCCGCTTGGTGGCCCAGCTACCGCCATCCATCAACGCCCTGACCGGAGTGGATCTGTCCAAGGTCTTGTCCAAGATTCCGGGGGCCAAGGCGTGAAACCAAATGGAATGGGATATCCAGGAAATGGCAATGACAACGTAACGCAGCGCAAAGGAATTGTAACCGATACAAAAACCAGAAAATTATAGGCAACCAAATTGAGAAAGAGACGGCAGGAAGCGACAAAACAAGATGGCGATAGTTTGCTAGAGAGGGGCGTGCATTTGTAAGAGAGAGAGAGAAAGAGGGGAAACAGCGAAAAAACTTGAAGAAACTCAAGTTTCGAAATGAAATCGAACGTAGATAAATGTACTCCGATATTATATTTATATATATATATATATTTGTATGTATATATATATATATATATTTGTATATGTATATGCACACATGCAATACACACATACACTTGTCTCGTCTGTGTGGTGTGCCAGTGTGTGTGTGTGTGATGTTTGGCGGCGTAACAATCAATAATAGAACACAACAAAAAACCAACGTTAATCTCAGCTAAAGTTATGCATTTCGTACGCAACATTTTGTGGCCTTTTCTCTCGAAAACGAAAACCGATAACGATAACAAGAAATCAACGTGAAATTTGTATAACTTTAAATCGAAAACCATTTAAGCAGAGTGTTAGCTATTTATTTACTATGCTATATATACTATATACATGCAGACTTGCTATACACAAAGAGTTCTTTAAATAAACACATACAATTTCATAGCAGACAGTGTTGTATAGGCATATATGTACCATTTTACAGTGCTGTAGGGATCTGTATAAGTAGTCTCCCTCCATCTCTTTCTAATACAATTTCTATCTGCTAATGGGTTTTTTATCTGTCCAAACTCCAACTACTGCCTATCGACTAAAGCCAAAACTTAAAGCTAGTAAGCCAAATGGAAAGAGAAGGAGAGTGCTTTTCGCGGCGAAAGATCGAGTTACTAATCATAAAAAGCTGACATACTTCCAGGCACATTAATTATAGTTTACATTCATTTAGACATTTTTTTAAATATCTCAGACCAACTGTTTATTTCTTAATACGTGTATGTCTTCTTCTGAATTTTGTTAAACGATTGGTTTTTACCGAAACGTGCCATATAGGGTACAACTTTGAAAATGATTGTCAGTTATTTCCGTTTTATTTATACCAAAATCATGTTTTGCTCGATCAATTGATATATAGTCGTATAGTCGAAATAGTCGTATATTACTTTACAACACTGTTTTCCCGGCAATTGGCGCTCTTCCAAACCCCACACACACACTAACCAATACACAAGCGTTTGAATTTTTATATTAATTTCAGTGCACAAAAATAAATCAAGCCTAATTTCTTGTTATACATATATATATATATATGTAATTACGTTTGTCTCGTTTAATCATTTTTTAATGTTTATTATTTATGTAACAACACATATTGAACTACGAATATGCATTTACGATTTTTGTAATTTATTCTTACACTTTTTTTTAGTTTATAGCAAAAAGGAGAGAAAAAATAAAGAAAAAATACAAAAAAAATTAAGGTACTAATTTTGTTATTTACTAACGTCTAACTGGAATTAAATAGTTAAGCAAATAATTCAACCCTTTCATTTTGATAGAGTAATTAACCCTAATTTTTGTAAGCACTTCTACGAATCACGTACACATCCATTAGACACAGAACACTCACATATATATTTTTTTTCTATTGTATATTAAGTCCAAGTAATTTTAATTGAAATTCAGTCTGATGGAGAAAGCAAGAAAACAACAACAACCAACCGAAGAACTAAAGAACTAAAAGCTAAGCCTAAATCAAATGTAAAATTTTGTGTATTTTGTCGTAAATAAATAAATTAAAAAATACTTGATTTGATTGATTTTGATATTGAAATAACCAAATAATGTTCAAAGATGAACAGCTGAACTAATGTACTGATATATTTCAATGCACGATAATTCAGCCACTATAAACACAACGTCATTTCAACTAGTTCATTTCGTCTTTATTTTTAAACATCGTGGCATACATGGCATTTATAGTATTGGATTTGGCATGCCGCCGTCTTTTAATACGATCAACAAACAATTATCTTATGGTACAAGGCAAAAAAAAATTGATATATGCAAGTAGGGGAATATCATAGCAAAATATCGGATGCGTCATTAGGTATAATCAAATGTTAGAGTACAAGCATACAGATTACGCATTTGTTTATGTATAGGGTCTTACGTATGCCTAATCTAGACTTACTAACTATGGACCAATCGAGCGACTAATCGAGACCTATGTCTAAGCCTAAGAACTAAGTATTTTCGAAGTTGTAAATGCAATGTTGCAGGGCCAACATTGATGTTCCTCATATACATACATGTTCCGCGGAATGCAACCACAATCAAATGGAGTTCTTAAATTTGGCAATAGGTTGAAGACCACATCGCTTCAAGAACTCCATTTGCCCGTGTGCCATTCCACATTGAGAAGAACAAAAAAAAAAATCACAAAAATATTTCTTAGCCTACGAAGATCCGTCCTCTAGGCACTTAGTCGGAGAACTTCTCCTTGAGCTCGCGGCGCAGGATCTTGCCAGTGGGATTCTTGGGCACCTCGTCCACAAAGATCACTCCGCCCTCGAGCTTCTTGTAGTGCGCCACCCGTTCGGCCACGTACGCGGAGATCTCCTCGGCGCTGGCTTTCTCTCCCGGACGCAGGACGACAATGGCTCGCGGCGCCTCGCCGTTGAGTTCGTGGGGAATACCGAAGACGGCAGCCTCCAGGATCTTGGGGTGATCGCGCAGCACTGCCTCCAATTCGGCGGGTGGCACTTGGAAGCCCTTCACCTTGATCAGCTCCTTCATGCGGTCCGTGATGTAGAAGAGACCGTCCTCATCGTAGAAGGCCACGTCGCCGCTGCGCAGCCAGTTGCCCGGATAGAAGGTGACCTGGTTGGCCTCATCGTTGTTCAGATAACCAGCCATCACCTGGGGACCTCGGACGCACAGTTCGCCGGTGGTGCGCGGACCCACGCCCTTGACATCGTTTCCATCCAGTGGAACGATCTTGGCCTCCGTGCTGGCCGGCAGCACTCCGGTCGAGGCGTACACCTTGTTGCCCTCCGGAGTCAGCAAAACCACGGGCGAAGCCTCTGTCATGCCGTAGCCCTGCTTGAAGACAGTGTTCGGGAATCTGTGAACGGAAATGCCATTAGTTCGGGTCGTCCTAAAATCGTGCGTCGCCAACTCACTTGTTCAGGAAGCGCTCCACATCGTGCTGACCAATGGGAGCCGCTCCACTCATCACCACCTTCAAGTGGGGCGCCGTTTCCTGCGACAGCTTGGGATGATTAATCATGAAGAGGGCTGCAAAGTATATGCAATAGATTAAATATTTATCAAACATTTTTTGAATTATTTATGGTAATACGACATAAGAGAAGAACCTGCCCTAAACCAATTTTTAGAAATATTTTTTTAGGCATTGAAGCGAAACAAAAAGTAAATTGTAGAAATTACAGCAATCCGAAATAGAATTGGCTGGTAAATAAGATTGCCATTCCCATAATTAATTAAATTAAATTAAATTATTCCCATAATTTCTTTAACGAATAAGAAAAGGTATTTAGTACTGCAATATAGCTCCACGAAGCACTTTCCACTTACCAATTGGGGGCACCAAGTTGAGGATGCTGCCCTGGTACTTGTCCAGCGACCTCATGAAGTCATCCGGCTTGAAGCAGGGCATGGTGGCCAGTCGGCAGCCCTGTCCCAGCTTGGAGAGCATGACCACGGTGAGGCCGTAGATGTGGAAGAAGGGCAGGACGCCCGGCAACGTGTTCTGGGGACCCAGGAGGTCCATTGGCAGGGATGCCTGGACCTGCTCGCAGTTGCTGCTGATGTTGTTGTGCGAGAGCATTACACCCTTGGGCAGGCCGGTGGTGCCGGACGAGAAGGGCAGGAAGACCATGTCCTCGGCGGACGCTTCTTTGGGCACTTTCAGATCGTCGTAACGCACATTCTGGGTGCTCGTCAGCTCGCTGAAATCGATGGCACCCTCGGGCAGAACCTCCTCGGCACTAGTACGCACCACGGCGATGGGTATCTGCCTGCCCACCAGCTTGCTGGCCTGGCTCAGTGTGGCGAATCCGGACACCGTTCCCACCAGGAACTTGGCTCCGCTAAAGGTCAACTGCCGGGCGATCTCGTCTGCAATAGAAGTGTGAGGATCAGTGAGATGGTCTTTCGACTTTGGTACCACAAAATACAGATGCCACCACACAAAGACCTCCCGATAAGGAGACTTTGACGCACTCAAGAGTCACTAAGCAATGTACAGCGGTGGTCACGCAAATAGCTAATTGCTCGCTTAATTAACTGCATCGCACAAACACTTTTATATGCCCCTATCTTTTATGAAGGATTTACGGTGTGCAACCATTATAACTACACACGACGTAGTGCTCACAAATTCCGAATGGGTTAAGTCATAAAAATGAAGTGCATTTTAAGGGGTAATTTGAATAGGTTACCTTGAAAGCTTTCAACAAAAAAACTTGTAATCTACAACTCAGTGGGTGATTCTGACTTTTGGTTTTGGTAAAATGCCATCGCTGGCATAGCTAACATCGGTTGTCATTCTTTCTTAAGGGTAAAAATTCTGTTCATAAATATTTGTTCTTTCCTAGTTTTGTTAGCATTTAGTTACTATTGCTGCGAACATCGCTGTACACAGAACCCACTGGGATCCTAACTTACCAGGCGTGTAGACGGGATTCACTGTGGTCACCGTCAGTCCCGCCTCAATGGCGCCCAATGTGGCGATGGGATACTCGGGGAGATTCGGCAGACAGATGGCCAAAACGTCGGGCTTGTGGAGATTGAACTTGGTCTGCAGACGGACGGCGAAGGCGGCGCAGGCATCTCGCATTTGGGCAAAAGTGTACTGCCGATCGGTGATCACACAAACCTAAAAAAGTAAATGTAGTAAAGTGGATTGATTTCCATATAGAATACGCAGCTTAAGAATCATTAAAGCCCCGTATCTTGAATATAAATATATGCTAATCGGGCCAATATACTGATAACGATAAATCAAAATCAACCAAAGTCTGGGAAAATCCAAATGGGTGGCATTCGAATCTTATCTGAAGAATGCTTCAAGAGGACGCATATGTTAGGATCGTATGTTTATGGGAAATCTAGTGTTTAGTGTAGTTATAGCACGGAACAGTGATTAACTAAGCTGAAATTAGGCACACCATACCACTGATATGGGTTAAATCATTAACCACCTAATTAGCAACAGGATAATAAAAGCTTATAATGCGATAAGATATCCGCGCTAATTGAAATGACAATGTCAGCCTAATCGGCTGGCTCATTTATCTGAGCCAGTGCTATTTTATCAGCACCAGTTTAGCTATTTAATCGATTTCAAATAGTTTTTGGGATTTGAGCAAGGTCAGTACGTCAGTTGTGCTGACCTGGCTTATTTGAGTATTACAAACTGCTAACATATATTTGAAGTTCATCCCTTGATGATCTCATATCTTTTTGACTGGCCTTGACTTCGCGTGGGGCTGACCTCAAAACCGGATGGCAGGGCTAAGGTGAAGGTTGCGTACCAGCTAAATGGGTGGCCCTAATGACTGGGGGTGGTGAATCGCAGATTGGGGGATCGTCAGCCCAAATTTGCGCAGTCGGAAATCACATTCGGTTAAAAATAAGCGTTATAAATAGCCGCGCCGCCAACAAGTTGCTCAAATTGAAGAAAACAACCCACGAACGAGGCAAACACACAGGCCGACGCCATAATGAATAAATAAGCGAGTAAAAAATAAGAGAATCATTTCGTGCATTGCCATGTATATGTTGATTTGCACCCCTCTAAAACCGCCGAGCCCCCCGTGGGTCCATCGGAAACCGCTTCGCTTGGCTTCAGTCGGTGGGACGGTCCAAAGTTCAGTGGGGCAAAGTACAAAGTCTGCAAAGTCTAAACAAGTCAGCCCCCTCACGCTATCTGTCTCGCTCTGGCCCACTCCCTCTCCCTCTCTCGCTCTTGTCACCTACTCTGCAGCGTTTGTTGACTTTTGCGGCGGCGAACTGCCAGAAAGTCTTGTTGGCTTCGGAAAAGTAGCTAAGAAATAGCTGAAAGTATCTCAGGTTGCGGCGGCACATCTTGGAGATGCCTTTCATATTTCAGACAAAACAATAGAAATTAATTAATTAATCAACAAAAATGATCATCTAAATTAGGTAATGAAAAAAGCCACATCATAGTGCCTGCATTTAAAGGTAGCATCCACAAGTATTAGGAAATTTAAATATAAATATAAATACAACAACAGTTTTATAGACAATATCCCAAGTTGCTTCACATAGATTTGTAGAATTATAGCCCGTGCATGACTATTTAATAGCCAAATTACCAACATAGGACGGCAATTTGGAGCGCCGAGAAAATACGGAGGAGGCTGGACTGTTGACGTCGGCGAGCGAAAAAAACAAAAAACAAAAAACCAAAACAAAACCATCAAAATTATCAAGTAAAAAATAACCCCAGACAATTAAAAGCGCATTATATGGACATATCAAGCATTTTTGTGGCTCGGTTCAGGGCAACAAACACTTGAGCGAATGGAAATTGATTAAAATTGAGTGATTGCACCAGTGAATCATCTGTATTGCAATTCTCAAACGCACAAACATTCCATTTAAAATTCGAGGAACTTAAAGTGGCAGGTTACATAGTCCATCAAGTATTTCTAAGAAATTTGTTTGAATTACAGAAAGCCAACGATAACTAATAATAAGGCACGTAAACAATGCTTATATAAATTAATTAAGTTTCCATTGCTGACTGCATGTATGTAGATAGCTCTTGAAATTCTAGCAGTTATTACTCTTCGCTACACAGAAATAATAACATAAATATTTGCACAAGCCACAAGTGCCTGTAATAACTGGAACAATAGCTGATCCGCCTGACGAAAAGTTGGAAATACGCGTATAATGATGACACGACTAAATCCTTATCTTGTCTAGTGGAAGCCCTTCTTATTTTGTGCTCCATCCCTAAATAAACAATTGCCACCAATCCTGGGGGCGCAGTGGACAACCTAGTGGGCGTGGCAGCGAGTGGAGACGAAAGGCGAACTTTGTACTTTTAATTGCATTTAATTCAACAATTGGCTGGGGCTCTGGTTACGCCTCAAACAAAAACCGGCCATGTGGGTGATTACTACTCGGTTATATCAGAGCTCAACCTCCCCTATATTGCACAAATGATGGCAATAAATTTCAATGAAAACAGTTTGCACTTTGATTTGCAAACTGTATGCACATACATATACTCGCATGTAGAGCTTCTAGTTACACGGCGAAAAGTGAAAAGTGTAAACAATTGGCGAAGGTCGCCTGGGAACGATATACATATGTACGCGTGTGGGTCTAAAATTACACCGGCTACTCGTTTAACCCGTCGACAAAAGCTGGACGCGATTCATTTAAGCGCGAGATTTCCTTATCTGCAATCCCGGGCAATTTGCCTCAGCCGGCTGACTTGCGCCCACTGATCCATGGATGCGAAGTCCGGAACGGGAATCGAAGTACCATGGTATTCCGGAAGGGAACGATAGTAGTGCCCCCAGAGAGGCCGGCCTTTTGGCCCCCCTGATGGAAATCGTGGGGCCTGCTTGGTACATTTCACTTTCGCTCTTATCACGGACCCGTTATCAGCAGAACCCGTCATTAGCGATGTCCGATAAGGGGACCGATGGCGAACCGGAGGTCTTAATGACCCAAATACTGCCATAGACTCCACCTAGACCCTCCCAATCGCACTGATAAGTCGGGGTACCACACACGCAAGTGTATCTGCAACCACGGGGGGCATTGCGATAAAGGATACGAAGATACAAAGTTTGGCATGCGGCATTGCGAAGTGTTGTGGCAATCGCAAATCAGACTGCGAATGCCAGCGCCCGTATAAATATCACTTTATATATAGACGTAGGTTCAGGTTCAATAAACCGCCATAAACAAAGTATTTCTGAGCGGCACATATGTACGACAACCAATGCAACGATTTCGATTGCGTGAATTTATAATGCGATTGGGTTCACGGTGGCTTTTATGGGGATCGGGCCTACGTTTACGTTCTTGTTTACCATTGTTTAATTGTCGATTGGAGATCCCAATGGGATGTAGTTACCTTTGAGATTCGCTAATATCAATGGGCTTTACTTATCTGCTTGAGACACATGCACTAAACATCTTTGAATATTGAGGTGATACTACAGTAAATTAGTTCTAGTATTGTACAAAAACACTTGTTTATATTCGGAAAACTGTTAAGATCCCTGGCAACTCCGAACCCTTGGCATCGATTTCCAAATGGACTTGAAAAACCCTAGCGTACTACAAAAGTAAGCTTCTATTTAAGGAGGGGCTCAAATGTTAACGATTTGTTTGCAAACAGGGATTTCTGCTTGCTTGCAGAAAGTATTAAAAACGGCTCACGGGAAGTGTTTTTAACACTATTTCAACACTTGATCACTGATCACTTACCGCTGCAGTGCGTCGCTCCCACTTCTTGAAGTCGCGCCACACGTACTCGTGCAGCGGCACGTTGGGAACGGTGACGGGGTCAAAGGGCGAGGTCTTGTAGTAGCCGTCCTCGGGGCTGTAGTGCAGGAACTTGTCCGACTCGCTGACGCTCTGCGTCCGCTCCCGCTGGGCGCTGGCGGTACTGGTGGTCCGCTGCCGCCGGTTGGTAGTGATGCTACGCGTTGCGGCGCTACCAAATGCGGTAGCGCTGCGCATGCGCAGCAGTTGAGCAGCTGGATTCATGGCTGGATTTGGTAGTCACGCGCTTTTTCGCTCAGTGTAGCACAGAGTGTGTGTATTTCCTATGCAGTTGCCTCTTCGAGGTGTTGAACTAGTGTATCTGCTGCTGCTGCTGCCACACGTCTGCTGCTGTCGAGTGTTGAAACACGACTGGCGACGCCGTGCGGCGCTGAGAGAAGTAATACCGCTGCCGCTGCCTCTGCCTCTGCCTCTGCTGCTCTCCCCAACCAACCAACACCAACCAACGCCAACAAAAACAAATACGATCGCGTTGGCGGTGGCGGTGCGCGATATGTCTGTCTCTCTCGATCATACACTGAAAGCAGAAGGTAAGCAAAGCTAGTTTTGATCCTTAGACTTTCATTTACTCTGTAATAATTCAAATGAGATTTACTAAATTCTACATTTATTTATAAGTTTCTCCTGTTATCAGCTTCCTAACAAAATTCTTATTAGTTCTATTGAGCATAATATTTAAAAAAATCAGAAATGTAAGAGCTACAATAATTGTTAAGCTGTAGCGAATGAAAATATATATCTTGTATTATAGGTAAGCGTACCTAGGTTGACATCATTTTCTCAGTGTATGTGCTGTTCTGTTTTTGATTTTTGGCCTTCTCCGGAATGCACTCTCTCACTTAACCGCTCTCACTCTCAGCAGACTGCAACTGTAAATTGTAAAGGGAAGCGATCAGTCAATAAAATGCTACTTAAAATGAGCTTAAATTGGAAAAGGAACCGAAAAAAGAGGCAGAATCAAATATCAATAATAAATATACCTATTTATAATAACTTGAAATGCCTTTAGAACAGTTTTATTAGTCATTTGATATACACACTCGAGATAAGCCCTTCAAGTTGTCACGTTGTTCCTTCGCAAAGTGGAGGTGCCGCGTATAATTACACCTCTAGTTGTTATTACCGCCACTTGAGGCATTTCCAGCTGAAGAGGCTGTTTCCAATTCTTTCCAGTGCATCACTTAAGGCAACTCCCGTACACAGTGGCTCTGAAGTGCTAGACTTGCCTCCCACGCACCTCCCCCCCTGAGAACCCCTTTCGCCACCACTGTCTTATCGTTATCGCGATGCAGTGGCTTCTTGTTGTCTACGCATGACTTGCAGGCCTTTCCTGTGCTTATCACCAGAATTTTGGTATGAAAACGGAATGGTATGAGTATGGCGGTGAACCTTGGACACTGACTCAAGAAACGCTAATCCCGTTAGAACACCTGAACTGCAATGAATCGGGTTCCATTTACTCATGTGCACAATCAACAGACCAGATGGAAAATTTTAGTTTGTTATGAATGTCCTACCTCATTAAATACAAGTCTTTAGGTAATAATGTGGAAGGAATACCTTGTATTAAACATGTTTGGCATACCCCATAAGATTTCTATAGGTAATAATATGTATTACAACTTTTTAGAGCATCATTTAAAATTTGGTAGAGATGGAATATCTGGGCAGGAATAAATGCCCTTAAGCCGTATGTAGTTTTTCGAATTAAAACTGTCAATAACCAGTGCATTCACCCTTTTGCAAGTGTTTGATTGGGAAACGCAACACTCTTTTGCAACAAGTTTTGCCAGCTGGGGGAAATTCTGCGTTTGAAATGGACACTTGTAAGAGCACAGTCCACAGCAATACATATGTACATATAAATGTATGCAAGTATGTAATATGAGAAACAAAACAAATCCCCGCAAAGCAGAAGCAACAGCAACAAAAACTAGAGAGCAACGTAAGCGGACCTCAAGGCCAAAAATGAGGCTCTCTACCTTTCTCCTCCCTCGGCCACTCACTCACACAGTCGTACAATTCGAGCTCTATGTAAATGAGTGCTCTCTTCGCCACACTCTCCCCCGCTCTTTCCCTTACTTCGATCACGTTGCAGTTGCATTTGCATTGAGATAAAAGAAATTATAGAGAGAGAGTTACAGTGGGCCTGATGTTGTAGTTGTATATAGTTGTATATAGCATATAGTTGGGCCTTATATGAATGTCGGATACTTGTTATTCAACTGATTTCGAACTTATCTTATATACACTCGCATGCAATGTGCTTATTTTATTCGCATGTCAAATCAAACAGCATTTTTAATGCATCACACACGTTTTATCTCTCTTTCTCGAGCTGCCCTCCGCCCACATCTACAGTTGAGCTCACAATTATAGCACCACAGGTTATTTAATTGTGAATATTGAGAGTATACTGGCTAATTAAATTAGCAAATGTGATATGATGGATCGACAAGCTATTATCTGATTAGTTTGGGACAACAGGTTTGTATTATGATCATATTTCGCATAGAAAAAACAGTAAATCGAAATAGAAAAATAAGAAGAATGTTTTAAGAGCATACTGATAATATCCTGTTAAATAAATCATTTGTAAACATATTTATTCAGACAATCGTATTATCTTAGTTGTACCAAGGGAAGATTTTATCATATTCTGCATACTTGTGTTTATATGCTATACAAGCGAACTCGCCTGTGCGGAGCATGCAAAATTTGTGCGATTCGCGAAAACGAGTCGTCGTACTTTCTTGGCTCTGTTTTGTGTTGAACTTTGGACCCTGGCTCAGTCCCCCCTCCCCTGCTGCCCACTGAAAACGGGACCAAAACAAACTCCAAAATGTTTATCCAAGCAAACCAGTTATTCTCGCCTTCATTAAGGCTGTTGCATGCGCGTTTTTGGCGTCGTTTTACGTTGTTTTTCTTTTGTATTATACGTGTGTTTTTTTCTTTTCATATGCCCCAGCTTCAACTTGTTTATCTCGGCTATCTTTGAGCTGGGTTATGGCCAGGATTTAGATTTCTGGGGTGTAGGGTTCAGCTTTTCTGGTTGCTTTATCAGTTTTTAGTGGGGGGATTTGCCACAGGTTTCAGTTTTTCGACTATCACTCACGCAAACACCTGCGCACTAATTTGGTTACCTGCTGTGCTCAGCGTTCGTTGGGGCACTGCCACAAACTTGATGCAGAGGGGGTTGGGGCTGGTGTTCTACCCTCTCTTCAAAAGAGAGGGAAAGTGAGCGCAGCTTGCGGGGGTGGTTCTAGACACCTGTAATGGTGTTTTAGCTTTTTTTTACAAATTCTATATTTATTTTAGCTTGTAAACAATGTAGCAATACCTACATTTATGAACCTGCATAGCATATTATTCTATTACCCAATATTATGATAATATGATTTGAAAAAAAAAGCCAATTGAGTATGCTTCCAATACCAAATCCAAACAGATTTATTAATTAAAAGCCTTGTTAAGCCTAAGTCGGTTGTTTTTTAAGATAAAGTGTGATCCAGAAAGCTCAAGAACGAAAAGCTATAAAGCATTTAAATGAAGCGTTAAGAACGATGTACAATCTTTTCATTACACATATGCGCTACCCATTAGCCAACTGTCAGAATGCGGAATGACATCCAGATGGCGCTGAAGAAGAATGGAATTTCGTAATCTTGGTGAAGAGAATATTGAATTATATCGATAGTAACCGGCTATTTTCAAAATGTTTTAATATTTTATTTTTGTTGATACGATTTTTAGAAAATACGAGATACGATTTGGAAAAATACTGCATTGCATTCACTACTTTTAATTTAATTTGCTTAATTTGAACGCCATTGCGACATCATGTCCACCAAACAAGATCCTGCGTACCGCAAGTCTCGATGAGTCGCTTGAGGGTCGACTGCACGCTAAGGACACAGCACAAGTTGATCAACGGAAACGAAAGGATCAGCAGGGATCGCTGCTCTATCGTCTGGTACAGTAGGACATCCAACAGCACGAGGAACAAATCGATGGATATGGTGGTGGCAGAAATTATAACCCAGGGAGCAATGTAATGCGGCTTGATCTGGATTAAAATAATGTTTGGAATATTTTATTACAATTCGAAGCGATTTAAATAATATTTTTGTAAAAATAAAACATAATTCAATGGGTGTTCTATGAGAATTTTGGAATAATTATCGTATATTCAACATTTATAGTACCTATTACTTGTTGATATTTTTAGTACTCACGGATACCAAGGCGTACAGCAGTAGGGACCACGCCTTGAACATCAAAATGCTTCCGACGATTCGAAAACGGCGCAATTGCTTGTCCCTGAAATTTGTGGCATTCCGTGGCCGCCACATCCTCACCAGATGTATGCCGAACCTCTCGAAGGAAATGTTGATGAACTCTAGAAAATTGTGAAGCTGCGGGTAATAAATCCTTCACTTCCTGCCCCAGTCAAATAATAATGCAATTTCCTTTTACTCACCGATCCAACGACACTGATGCCGAGAGCATAGTAGAACATGAATGGGAACATCTCCTCGGAGCTGCAAACAAAGGTGCCTGCAAGCTCAATGTTCCTATCGAAATTAGTCGGGAACTTCCAAATGGAGTATGATTCGCAGCATGATAGTGTTATGTCCAGGTAGGTGCGCATAAGCTGGCAAAACACATCATTGATCCGCCGCATGGTATACATGGCGAACGTTGTACAATTAATTTATAAATGAAAAAATTTAAAATGAAAAAATGAATAACACAATTTTTTTGCGTAAGGCATAGGGGATTGAAAGGCAATGAAAAACGAAAAAATTAGGGCATAAAATCATGGCAAACTACTCCCCCTTCTCTAGCTAAGTTATGATGAATATCTAGTATAGATAGTATTTCCAAAGAAATACTTTTTGTACAATGCCAATCTCGATTTTTCTCAAATAATAATTAACTCAAATATTTAACAGACTTCAGTTATTCAAAAATCGATAGGAAGCGCGCGCTTTGCCACTTAACACATTTCCCTTGTACCTGATACATCGATAACATAGTGAGTAGCGCCACCTAGCGAGTGGGCGGCGCTCTTCATGCAATCGATGAATATCAAAGAGAAAATAATGGTACTATCGGCAGTGGTATCGATGTTTTCCCACCTCTAGCAGCGCGCAACTCACACGTAGTCGACTTTTAGGTGCGTAGTCGCGAAGAAGTATGAAGACGCAGCTCTCGCGTCGAGCGGTCCTCAGAATCCGGGATTCGTCCTCCAGTTCGAAAATCCAGCGAATTAACCCAACATTTGTGTGCGCCAATCGAATACGAATTTTTTTGTATTTTTTTTTTATGTCGCCTGGCATATTTCGTAAATTACAACAGTGTGATCGGTGGGAGGCGGTGGTGGTGTCGCGAGAGGGGAATTATGGGAGTGGAAGAGGGGGCGCCGCGCACGTGTCGACGTCGCAGTCGGCAATTGTTGCACGCTGCTGCTCCTCCGCGTTTCTTGTTTCATGTTCTTTCTTGTTTGTTGTGTGCTTCTTCGTGTCCCTTAATGGTTGTTTCTTCTTCTTCTTCTACTCCTCCTCTTCCTCCGCTTTCACCGCCACCACCGCCTTCACCTTCGCCGCTCAACTGCAGTGCAAAGTGAAATGCGAAGAACGCGTTGCAGAATAATCACATCGCAAATACGGCGAAGGCAGATAAATTGAAAAGAATCGAAGAATCAAGCGAAAACCAGTGAAGAATCGGAATCAAAGAAAGTATCGGAATCAGCGGAATAACACTAAAAATATACACATATATATATATATATATATATATATATATATAGAATATATATATATACACATATATATTTAACCACCATTTAAAAGCAATCAAAAAGCAACCAAGCAAACAACAAAAAGCAACAAAAGGTAATCACAAAAAGGGAGGACCAAATATTGTGTAATAAAGTTGAATTTCTTTCACTTTGCCGCAAATAAATAGGGTAAAAAAAAAAGAATTATATATGGAAAGAGAGTTAGCGAAAGAGGAAGAGAGCGCGAGAAGGCGGCATAAACACACTTCTAATTGTAATTGTTGTCTACTGTTGTTCTGCCGGCGTCGCTGCCGGCGTCGCTGTCGCCACCAAAACTTTTGCCTGGCGGCGCGAAAGAGACAACGCGAACGGCGAAGTTTTGCCCGAAAGAAAATGTAAGAAAGAGCAAAGAAAATTGAAATGAGCAGGGAGCCAGGGAGAAGGAGTAGTGGAAGAATGGAACATAATAAGTTAAATTTGCGTGCTCTTGGTTTTTCGTTGATTCATGCTTCGTTTTTCCTTTATTTATTTGTTCAGTTTTGCGCTGGTTCCTTATTGTTTTCTTAATTTCTTGATTTTTTTCCTGCTATATATTCCTTCTCTTTGAATGTGTGTCAGCCAACAAAAAATGAAATGCGCAATTATGTCAGCGACCAAATAAAGCGAAAAAAAGACTTAGCAACTACAACAATTGCTTGTTTTTCAAGTGCAACCAACACACAAGCACACACACGCACTTTGCGGTTGCATAAGTGTCAACCGCAACACACGCTTGCAGTTTGACAGCCATTGTGCTAAGAAGTTTAAAATAAGAAGTTTACGTTTATTTTTGTAGGGGAATGAAGTCTATATTATTTAATCAGCGCACTGTTACCTTAATCAACTTAATCAAATCTGCAGCAAAATAAGGGTCATTAAGCAGAACACCAAATAAGAGTGCTACAAAAATTGTTTAAATTAAATTTCGATTTTTAGTGCACCTACAATATAAAATATGGAATGAAATTAAAGATTAAAAATTTATACAAATAATATTAGGGGATATATATAAGCGGATTAGATTAAGTTGCCACAATGGTAACAGCGCACTGTTAAAGAGTTACATTTTAATTTTTTATGCTTAAAAAGAAAAAAAATACAATTTATGTTTTAATTTTTTGTACAAAATATTTTAATGAATAACTAATTCTTTGGCATATCTTATATAAATAAATAAACGTAAGCTTTTTTTTCGAGAGTGGTTCAATAACTTCTGTTTACCAATTTACCAACTTGACTTTACTGCCAACTGAAATATAAAGATCACTTTTATTGGTAGAATTAATGGGAAACCTACTTAAAGCTATTAAGCCCATTGCTAGTAAAGAAATAGGGTATATTCGATTCGCATAAGTTCTGCTGGCCAAAGTGTGCAGGTGAAAAGGAGTGCAAGTGTGGGTGGCCTGTGTTATTTGACATCCGCACAAGATTGATATTGATGCCCTTTACACCCACACAGGCGCACCATTACAAACACTCCCAAACGCACACACACACACACACACACGCAAGCACACGTACAGTGAGTCACAGCAACAGGAAACGGGTAAAACTACTTAAATATTTAAAGCATTTGATGCCGAAGGAGAGGGGGCGACAAACAGAGCGAGACGGAGAGGGTGAAATTGAATGGGTCCGCCCACTTTTTGCGCCTGGAAGTATGCAAACAATGCCAAATGGCACCAGCACAGAAATGCCGAGTAAATCTTGAGAGCAAGTTTTCCGCCCGCCCAAGAAAACGCGAAAAACCCGCAGTCAGGAGAAAATAAAATAAGAAATCCGAAAAGAACAACCAAATTCACCAGAAGAGCCCAACAATTTGTCACGCATGTGTGGCCTTAAGTGTGTGTGTGTGTGTATGCTTCAGTGTGTGTGTGTGCCAAATGAAAAGAGCCAAAACATTAAAAATGTACCAGCAACCACAACAACACAAATGACAAAAATAACAAGAATAACGGGAATAGCACAGGAAAAGTCCAAGCTGACGGGCGCCGCAATTTGCTGTCAACATAAAATAAATAAAATAAAATGAAAAGAACAAGAAGCAATACCCACACATACATACATGGCCAGTGTATGTATATCTGTATCTTGTAGATATGTCTTTTGTACACTTTTGGCAATTGACTTTTAACGCCGACTGTTCCCATTCGCATTTTCACGTTCCCACTTTGCAATTTTCAATTTTACTTTGCGCATATTTAATAGCACAAATCGTAAATTAGATTCGCCACACATATAGCCCTATTTGTGCACTGAACGAAAAATAAGCAGCCCTAACAGAGTATAAAGTTTTGATTTATTGTAAGCGGTTTATTTTTCTATACTCATAATGAGTTATATTTTTAATATTTAATGTAGAAGATAAATGTACACACAATTTGCATACAACCAAGTTAGCTATCAAAATTGCCCAGCATCTGCAATATATTTCAGTGTCCTTTACGTAGCTCCACTTTTATTACCCAAAGCTAATGAAGCGTAAGTGTTGGGGAAAGGGATGGCGTTTGGAATACCCTGGCTAATCAATCAAGTGGCACCAATAAGCCTTTAAACAGATTTGCAGATTTCAAACTTTACGTACTGTGAGAGCATTTGAAATGTTTGCTATCGGATTTCCATAGAATATGTTAAATGCTAGCTGCCACACGTCGCTTTTTATTTCTTCCCCTGACCCTCCGCAAGTGTTTTATGTTTGACATCCGCTGGCATCCGTGTTGCCTTTCCGTGGCTTCCGTTTCCGGATGGTGCTGCATTACAGCCACCCACCTCGCCCCTGGCCCACTGCTATTCTGCTAACTGCATTATCGCTTATCTACACTGAGCGGAAAGGCGCTCATTCATCATGCAGTTTGCAGTGATTTACTCATTTTTCTGGCCCCGCTATTAGCACTCAATTATTTTTCTTATTATTATTATCTTTTCCAATTGCTTGTATATGGAATATTTTATTTACATTACTTGTGTTTTCTTGCACAGTGTAATAGAAGGTCTTTAGAACAGAAAGGCAAATAAAGTTTCGATTCGATTGAGCCGCATGGCTTAATATTTTCCCAGGACCTTCCATAATTTCTACTGAGGTTTCTGTGTGCAGGCAGTGCGGCACTTATCGCTTTTACAGTGAAACCAAAGCAGTTGGACCACCTGCTGACTTCCTGTCAGATTTTCAGATTGCCAGACTGTTTGGCTTGGCTTTTTGCTGCAGCAGGACTACTCGGAAAACTCGGAAAACTCGCTCCCCGCGTCCTTGTCCTCGTTGACCTTGTGCCCGAGATCTGGCTGTCGTATCAAAACAAGTTTATTAACATTCCACTGGCTATCAAAGCGGTGCTCTGCCACGCCCCCACTGCCTCTTCGCCGTGCCAGTTGGCAGTTGGCAGGTGCCCCGGGGGTGGGGGCTTTGGTGGGATAGACAATTACATATGTAAAATGTGGCCACAGTTTGGCAGTCATTGGGGAAAATGGGCACGCCGTCCTGTCGCCATAAAATGGACCAAAAATTCCGAAGCCAGCTTCCAAATAAAAACGGAGCCTAAGGATGGTAAAAGCCAACCATTTTTCTCAGTTCTCCAAAAGTAAATTAATTTTTTTACAATTTTTTTAAAGCTGTTAAGCTCCGGAAATGTAAAAAATCACATGATAAGGTGTCCAAAAGTAAATGCACTAGTATTTGTGCCCACAGCAATCCCACCATTTTTCACACTACTCCTGCTCTGAGTGCATTTTGCGACCTTTTAGGGAGTACATTTGGACTATTTGATATATTTTGAGGGAGTACAAGAGCCAAAGAAGCTGGAACAGGCAAAAGCACGTGCGCAATATGTAAATTTATATATTTCTCTGTTGTAGCTCCTCTTTTATTTTTGCCATTTCTGCTGTATTTCTTCCAGCTTTTGGCTTTTTGGTTTCTGCTCTTCTTGGCCCTTGGCTTGATGTTGTTTTTATGTTAATGTGCCCGGCCGAATGTCAGTGTGTGTGTGTGTGTGTGTGGGTTAGTCCCTAAGCTGTTGGTTTTCCTTGTGTGTGTGTGTGTGTGTGGTTGTGTCCCATCCCGCTCCTCTAAGATCTTCCCTCTCATGTGCTTGCTCATTGCTTTTAATAGCCAACAACACGCCATGCATTAATTTATGAATTTCGTGTTGTTCTGGGCGGCCGAGCTGGCAGTAGTGGGCGTGGCCCTTCCGCCCACCCGGAAACCTTTTATCCGGAGAGCCAACAAGCCGCAGAAATAATTAAAAAGAAAATAAAGGCAGATTGCAAAACAAGACAAAGGCGCATGCCGATTCTTGGCCTCAGCAGCTTAAATAAATTATTGCCTGCAGTTGGCACGCATTTACAGAATTTCCTGCATGGCTTAGGCTACTCGAGGTTAAATATAACGAGGTTTATTTAATTTCAATTTCAATAGATTCTGCAGCAATCTCATAACTCCCATACAAGGGTCAAACAAATTCCATGAAAGAAGCAATTGATTAGAATCACCTTACACTCAAGACAATAAAATATACACAGCAGCATTATTTGTATTGGCCACAATTGCTGCAAACTTAAATACAAGTTCGAGTTACTGGCATTCAAAATAAGCTGATACTCAGTCTAATACTGTTTAATTATTTTTGCGAATGTGTAAAACACACAGTCCAGTTATGAGTTTATTTATTTGCTTTTAATGTTTATATTATATGAAACAATTCTGCAATAAACTAAAATTTTAATAACATTTCATGATATCTGCACGCCACAAATGCAAGTAGGACATTTTTAAAAATGACAATCACGTTGATTATGCCATGGTTTCCATAAATGCGTAGTTCTGAAGTACATTTTTAAAGAACTTTGTAAAAATTACTTATTTTATGTTAACTTTACACTGAACCTTTGCGTGCAAGTTTATAGTAAGAAAACGTCTAACTAACCTTCTATTTTGGTGAAAATTTAAGTTGTTCAAGTTCTCAGTCTAGCAATTATTATTTTTGCGCCAGCCACAAGTATGTTACACAGTTTTGAATGACTCTACTGGCTGCTTTGATTGCGAAAACCACATAACTTCATTATTCGAATGAAAAGCTACAGGAG